ATAAACTCTCCTTTTTTTCTTGACTCCTAGCAAAACCTCCCCGTTCAGCCAGGCCGGTCGTTTTCCTCGGCGGTTCGACTTGCGGCACGTGGGAATAGCCTGGTCCTGAGCCGTTAAGATTTCCTTCTTAAAGAATGTCCATCCCTCCTGGACCCCTTTGCCCTTCAGGACCGTCTCCCAAGGGACTCTCTCAACCAGTGCCTTGAAGAAGCCAAAGTTTGCCCTCTGGAAGTCCATAGCGGTGGTTTTGCTGACCACCTTCCTTGCCTCACCAAGAACTGAGAATTCTATCATTTCATGGTCGCTAAGCCCAAGATGGCCTCCGACCATCACAGCTCCCACCAGTCCTTCCCTGTTCGTAAACAATAGATCTAGCAAGTCTCCTCCCCTGGTTGGCTCACCCACCAGCTGTGTCAGGAAGTTATCTTCCACACACTCCAGGAACCTCCTAGACTGCTTACTCTCTGCTGTGTTGTATTTCCAGCAGACGTCTGGAAAGTTGAAGTCCCCCATGAGAGCAAGGGCACACGATTCTGAGACTACTGCCAGCTGCTTGTAGAATGATTCATCCGTCTCTTCAACCTGGTTGGGTGGTCTATAACAGACTCCCAGCACAATATCTGCCTTATCGGCCTTCCCTCTCATCCTCACCCATAAGCACTCCACCTTGTCATCACACTCGGGTAGCTCTGTACAGTCCAAACCCTGCCTAACATAGAGAGCCACCCCACCACCTCTTCTACCTTGCCTATCCCTTCTGAAGAGCTTGTAGCCATCCGTCGCAGCACTCTGGTCACAGGAGTCATCCCTCCGTGTTTCCGTGATGGCGGCTAAGTCATATCTATCCTGCTGCACGATGGCTTCCAGCTCCTCCTGTTTATCGCCCATGCTGCGTGTGTTGGCATCGATGCATTCGAGCTGGCCTATCGAATCCACCCCTAACGTCGGCACGCTGCCCCCAGGCTTGTCTCTGGTGCACCTAGTCTTATCCCTTACCCCCTTCAAACCTAGTTTAAAGCCCTCTCTATGAGCCCCGCCATCTCACGAGCGAGGATTCTTTTACCCCTTTGAGATAGCTGGATACCATCTGTCGCTAGCAAGCCCGGTGCCATGTAAACCTCCCCATGATCAAAAAACCCAAAATTCCACTGATGGCACCAGCCTCTGAGCCACGTATTAACCAGGTGTGTCTTCCTGTTCCTTTCAGTGTATTTCCCTGCCACTGAAGGTATTGAGGAAAACACTACCTGTGCTCCCAATCCTTCCACTAATCATCCCAGTGCCCTGACGTCCCTTTTGATTGCCTTTGGATTTCCCTCTGCAATCTCATCACTGCCAACCTGCACAACCAGCAATGGGTAATAATCAGAGGTCCAAACCAGACCTGGGAGTTCCCTGGTAATGCCTTTTCCCCAGGCCCCAGGGAGGCAGCAGACTTCCCTGTGGGATGGGTCAGGCCTGCATATTGGGCCCTCTGTCCCCCTCAGAAGGGAGTCGCCTACGACAATTACCCTCCTTTTTCTTTTTTCCAGAGGATGTGAAACTCCTGTTCCCTCCTGTCTGCTTTCTTAGAATCCTCAAACAAGGATTAGGGATTATGCCACAGGCCAAAATTCACTTTTAGGGCAGTCCATTTCAGAATACCCTCTCTTTACAGGTGCTGTAACCTAGGTTCCATCATGACTGTTACCATCAGCATCACATCCAAATAAGAGGAGTTTCCCATCACATGACTCCCATCTGCACTTTCAGGAAGAGAACACAGGACCACCATGTCTCCATCTTAGCTCTGTGAGAGTCAACCAACTTGCGCCCTTTAGAACTGGAATACAGAAGGATGCTCACTTTCTTCAGCCAAACCCAGTAAGTACCACTGGCACAAAGCCTTGAAATTTGCCAGAGACTGGTTGCTAGACACCCCAGGCAGAAAACAGTTTTAGTGGAACAAGGAAAGCAGAAGCCATACTGGAGAAGTTCCAGGATGAAATTAGAGGAGAGGAACTTGAAGTCCTAACTGCAAATGGCACATTCAGTTAGAACTATCAGCCACAGAAGTGTCACATCAGAATTTAGTGCAGACCAGATAATACAGAGGAGAAAAGAATGAAGGAGCCAAGGACTGAATACAGTAGATACCTTTAGGTAAACTATGTACACTGTGTAAGTGCATCATTTTAGCAATGGTAAAAAATAATTACAAGAGATCACTTGCTAATATCACATCACTTTCTAATTCACATTGTCTCAGGGTGTCAGCTTCACACAAAACCTTGCTGATTTCACAACCAGGTACTACAGAAAGCAGCATGCACAGGCCTAAAAATGGCAGTCATATCTGGGAAGTCTATTCTGTGGCATCCTATATAAATTGCTCAGTTTAGCTGCCTACAAACTACCCTTTTTGTATTCAGGCTGTTTTTTAAGTATTTCAAATGAAAAAGACTGAATGTCATTTCTTTGGCCTGAACAACCTTTGTGGGTTCCCACACCCCCCAGACCATGTGGATGTGTGTGCTGTAAGACCACCTCAGAGCAGCTGGGCACAAGGTGCACTGACATCCCACAGGCTCCACCTCTAAAAAGGACTTACAGCCACCTCTGATTAGACTATACATCCAGAGCACCAGCTATGTTGATTTTCCCATAGGGATGCTTGCAAGAAAACCATGATTTTAATAAAGACACGAAGGCCTGCCTTAACTCCTTTTATTATATCAACAGCAGCAAATAAAACTTAAAAGTCACAGTTACATAAACAGTCACGTGCTCGAGTGCCCTCGGTCCCCCATTTTCCCTTCATGATTTCTGTGACCTATAATAGGTAAGCAGCACAGGAAGTCACTGTCCTCTTTGAATGGAATTTGTGGCTCACTCACTTATCAACGGGATGATTATTCAACACTTGACCTCATCACAAAATGGTTTAGCAGCGTTGCTGGTGCTTGAACCAAATTTCTCTACTGTAGGCTGACCTAGAGAGAGCAGCACAGCTGCAAGAAGGAACTGCCAAAAAGCCATAGCTTTTCTGTCTGTCCTTCTCCCCTGTGTTTAAGATGTGTGAAAATACTCACACAATTAGACAGGAAAAGAAGCCCTAGGTAAGACTCTATTTCATCTCCACATCTTCTAAAATAATGATTTTCCTAACTGGGGGGAAGGAGGAGAGGGGAAAAGAAAGGCACAGCGTTTAAAGACAAGGCATATATCCTCTACTTTTATCCATAACTTAAAGTGACTTTGAAAAAATCCACTTGCAAGAAAACCCCAGAATATTCACCTAGCAATTTCTCTAGTACTGCTTTTTTTTAAAAAGGGCTCCAAGGCGAACAAGATTAGAGAAAGTTAATTACCTTGCAGTAACTGGAACTCTTCAAGATGCTTTGCCCATATGCACAAACAACTGTGAATGTGCAGAAGTACCATACATTCAGGTTTGCCAACTGCTAGAGAACCACAAAAGGTCAAAATGCATGTACAGCACCTCTGTTTCCTCTCAAAGGCAGAATCCAGGTGTGATGGATTCTTCCAAGGAAGAAGGAAGCAGGACAGATTACTGAAAAAGCTTGTCACAGACAACATAAAACTGCCTTTATTTCCTTTTCCTCACAGGAGAAGAATTTTGTGGTAGATGGGAAACAGAGACAGAGGCCTTTTATTTTCAGCCATAAGCCCCAGAATAAACGTGTCAAGTGAGTTTCATTACCTGCCAGAAAGATCCTTCTTTTACTAGCTAAGTATCCATGGAAGAGGACAGAAATACATGGTTTCTCCTGAGGTGAGCTGTCACTACTTGATGAAGCTTCTCAGGGCTGTTGACAGACCACAAGATAGGACCTAATAGTGACAACAAGTCTGATCTCCCCTAAAACAAGTTCTTCAAAAGTTAACTCCTAGTACGATGGATGTTTGACATCCTGCCTCCAAGAAAGATTAACTATTCTTCTGTTCTAGGCAAGAGGTTCTATCCCACAGGTAGCTGTGGGATCAGTGTTTGAGGAGCGTTGCTTCCACTGGGACTCAGAGATTTTAAGCACCAAATGAACAGGCACTGCCTTAAGAGTGCAGTTAGAAGACACTTAAGGTGACAAAAGCTCAAGACCGACAGAAGTGGTGGTCCTGTGCCCTCCCTTGTATTTGCTCTGTTGTTTGACTGCTTGGTGAGCCAATTTCAACTCACTAAACTGGCAGAAAACTACTCACTCTGCCAAGAAATCAGAACAAAACTGATGCAAAGAAGGCAGGAATGAGGAAGCAGGAGAAAGAGTCAACAATCTGAGCCACCTATCTCCTGAGGTCTTTTGATGTGCAAAGCATATCACGTCTTGTCAATGAAAAACACCAGAGGATTCTCCCTCCCATCCAAAACCTCAAAAATGTACTACACCTCTCAGGGAAGAGCTGGCCCTTGCAGTCAGGATGGCCACAGAAGTCAATATCATGCAGGCTGCTTTAGAAGCCTTATCTGGGACATCTGTAGCTGTGTAGGCCACCATAGACTCTTCTAATACTAATTAAAAAAACTCTTCTCTAGAATCAGTTGGCAGCATCTTCCTGGGAGAAGAAAAGTCCTAAAGACCCAGAAGTAATATCCTAACAGTGAGGCCCAGTAATCAGCAACCCTAACAAGTAGGTGGGCAGAGCAGTATGTCTTATAGCATAATATATAACAATGTCACATATGTATATGTACACATATATAGTATACGTGTATAATAATACATGTATAATATTTGCCTCACTACAATTTAGAACTACTTTGTTCTAGCTGGATTTTGCCACTATTTGAGGCTCAGTGAGCTGAAGTACTTGAGGTGTGTGCATGAAACAGAACACACACGGCCTTAGAGGAGGGGAACAGTTTTGAAGACCATTTCTCAAGCGGTACACCACAAGAGCATGCTACACAAAAAGCTTTCATCAGCTGTCTTGACCAATACCTAGTACTCCTGGAGAGAAGGTAGACAAAGATAGTTGACTTTTATGATTGTTTTCAGAAGAAACAAATGTTTCTAAAGTTGGCTTACGCTGCAAAGGCTCACTAGTAGCCCCAAGACAGATTCATAAAGCACATAAAGTGTCAGTATAACAATAGAAAATCATGTTCCTTACAAAACATATTTTATGGTACTGATGTTCTTCTTGTAATACTTTTACGGAGACTGAGCAAAATACCACAGCCAGTCTTATTGAAAGGTTTTTCCACAGGCCCTCGTGAACATCCTATAATAACCTACAGTTGAATTTGGGCACACCTTTCATAAAGCACAAGATAGTGATCAGACTGATTTATACACTAAAGGAATGTGGCCAACTGAAAACTTGAAGTCTGTACATTAACATATCAAAGGAATACACCTCTTTTACCTGATGAAAACAGAGAATATGATAAACCATTTGCTAGAAAACCAAACACTTTTTTAGGCAGCAAATTCTGAGCCAGATTCAAGTCCCTTATCAGGAATTTCAGGCTTCCCTGGCTCTTTTAAAACCAGCTATGATATCAGATTAAGACTCTGACAGAGTATTATAAATTGGAGGACAAACTAAATATGCAGAGATCAACTGTTAATCCCACAGCTCTATTTGAAATGGGAATCAGCTTTAACAACCTTTGATGGTTCAGGTGGTCCACCTGCAAGTCTACCCAGAGAGATTCCTTGCACCTGGAGTGGTAGTGGATCATTTACATCAGTGCACATGTACCGCTGTGGGCTCACTTTCATGTTAAGTTCAGTACAGTGATTAGAAAGTCTACCTTTTCTTCGTCATAAGGAAGTTTAAAAACTCCTTAAATTATTCCTAGTTAGCCAAAATCCACTTTGCTTCTTCATTTGTTTTGCTCTAGACAGATGTCTATGGCAGTGAGAAATATCAATATCAAAAGGTAA